CCCGCCATAATATTTTACCTTCCACATCACAAATATGAAAGTAAAATACAATGCCGTACACGTAACCTAACTTTGCAGGCTGTGCTGGCTGTTCATGAAATGCGACACAGCGAGCGACATGCAGTTTGACCTATTATAGTTTGACGTGCCCAGAAAACCTTTTTTAGGTTTAAAAACACAAATTATTATGCTTACCCCTTCTCGTCATCGTCCATGTCTGGATTCATACGCATAACTTATTACTAATTAAAAATAATGCTTGGCACCGGTAAGACACCCAAACCACACAACCACAGACCCACACGAATGATTATGGCGGACCAACCATATCCGCTTTCTCAAAAGTCATAAAAACAGGATGTGGTCAACACAAGTTCCAAACTTTTTTAATTTTCGAACTTTTAGTTAATGAAAGAAGTTTAGGCCCAAATTAATATTTCAAATATATCAAAATCTAAAATATTGAAGTGCAGTAAATTATTAAGCAACATTAAGGATATATAAGTTATAAAGTAATAAATTGACTCAAAATTGCTAAAAATAGACCAATATGTCGGTCATTTGAAAAAATGTTGCCATAAAATTTCTCACGAGAAATATAAATGCTTTCGTGTCATTACACAGACGAAATACATGGAAACCTTTTTTACGTTTATGCTTATGTCGATACACCCAGATTTGCATACATATAATTTTTTTAATTATTTGAATTTTAGTTACCATTTACCAAATTTATACCAATATAAGTTTTTACTTTCTTTGTAGAAATTGCTATGGCACATACACAAGACAATTTAAACGAGTCCCTGGGCCCTGGACAGCTCTCCGGGACGAAAACACCTGTTCCGTGTAGCAAGAGATAGAGAGAGGAAGAAGTGGAAGAGGCATAAACAATACTTATTTGGAATGGAGTGTTGGAAAATATGCCGGCTTATATTAATATGGTGAAAGAGATTACCGTGGATGAAATAAAGACAGCAGTGCAAGTTATGAAGAATGGAAAGGCCGTTGGGCCAGATGGAATACCACTGGAAGCATGGAAGCTGCTAAAGTCGGATGGATGGGTGGCTGACATTATTCTTTAACAAGTTGTTACAGGAAGAGGTAATCCCTGACGACTGGTGTGGTAGTGCACTGGTACTCGTTAATAAGAACAATGGAGATCTGCAGGATTACAACAACAACTACAGAGGAATAAAGCTCATGTTACACACTATGAAAGCTTGGGAAATAGTGATAGATGCAAGAATCAGAGAAAAAATTGAGTTATCTCGGAACTAATTCGGATTTACGCCAGGTCGGGCGACTACGGACGCCATTTTTGCCATTCGCCAGTAATGCGAAAAATATAGGCGTGTGCTTATGAACCTGCACATAGTCTTCGTGGACCTCGAAAGTCTCTGAAGCTAAAAGGACAGATCTACAAGTCCATCATAAGTCCTTCAAATTGTTTGGATCTAAACGTTGGGCCACTATTGTTGCGCATGCATGAAAGGCGATCGGTGTGACTGAAAGGAGTATGTTAAGAATGTGTATATAATAGGAAGTTTGAAAAGTATCGCCGGTGGTTAAGAAATTAAGAAGCAATAGGTTAACGTGATATGGACATTTTATGCGATGAGAGGATGGGGACATAAACTATAAAGTATTGAGATTGAACGTGGATAGCCACAAAAGTAGGGGAAGACCGAAGAAGGTATAGATGGATTGGATAAATAAAGCAAATGCTTAAGAAGGGAGTGGATTCAGATATGACAGCTGATGGAAATGTATGGAAAAGCAGAATATACTGTGCCGACGAAGACCTAGGAACGATGGCAAGTTGTTGAAGATGAAGCTTCTTCTTTTCTACTCGTTATGAGTGTCCATATGTTAAGTTTAACCCACAAATTTAGGAAAGTATAAATACCATCATAATAAACAGTTTTAAATAAGATTGGTAGATTCTAAAATCAATAATTCATTATAAATATCATGGAAGTGAAACTTGAAATTGCTCTTTTAGATTTTCAATTTTATTTTTAAACTGGTTTTAGGATTGACCAATTTGACAGATGTCCATAGTTTTTACTTGACAAATAAACTGTCAGATCGAATTTGGCCGAGTAGCTAAAATCGAATTTGGCTGATTCTTTCTTTCGAAATGTTGCGGAGAGTTGAAAATTAATTTGCGGCTTATTTTTATAATTTCCTGGAGACTAACTAAATCGATAATTTAATATTCATGAATCTCTTAAGTGTCATAAGCGACTAATAATAGGTTATGTTGTGTGATCTGTTTTGTCGCCGTGAAGTGTAAGTAATGGTTTAAATTTTCATTTATCTCAATTTGTTATATCACTCCACAAAATTGTATACCTAACACATTCCAGATTAATTCCAAATTACATAATAAATGTTTGCCGGTGCGTATAGTAAATGTCAGTGTAGGTTTGCATGTTTAAAAAAAAATCACACACTATGTTTCATACTAATTGAGATCCCAACTAATTGATGACCTATATTTTATATCTTGAATTACTTCGTTTATTCTCTACGAGTTACCTCGATTCAACTAAAGTACCAAAATAAAAGCACATTTAAAAAAAACCATTTATGAACATTCTTTATACAATTGTTTTAAATTTTAGAGTCGAAAATTTGTGTGAAAATGTTAGCTACTAGTTATATTAATCAAATTAGGGACATTTTAGAGAAGATTTAAAGTGTACATGTAACCTAGTATGTTTTACTGTAACACTTACCTTAAAGTTTGTTCTTATTATAATTTTACAGATAACAGCCACAATGGATCCAAACATTTATGCTTTGGTTTTGGACACACTAAACCGCGCCACTAGTCAAGACACTGAAGTATTAAAGCCTGCGGAGAAGAAACTACAAGAATGGGAAACTGAACCTGGCTTTTATTCTGTTCTCTTGGTTAGTTAATATGTTAAATGACACTTTCCTCTTATATGTGTAAATAGAGTTGCTATGTTGTTAAGTCTGTAAAGATATTTCTTAGTCTAATATGAAGTAAATAAGATACAAGTTTTCTTAAAAAAAAGTTTACACATATAAAATAATCACTTTCAAAGTCTCAAGTATTAATAGACACATTTGTAAGACTACTTGACTCTATGGAAAATGAAAAACAATAATAATATCTCTATTTGTTGTTTACAGAATGTTTTAACGAATCACTCTATTGATGTCAATGTTCGTTGGCTAGCGGTTATGTGCTTCAAGAATGGCGTTGAGAGATATTGGCGAAGGAATGCACCACATGCCATTGCTGATGATGAGAAGCACAAGCTGCGTCAGGGCATCCTCACATCTCCTGTATTCAATGAACCAGTGACTCAGATTGCTACGCAGCAAGCGGTGTTAATCTCAAAGATAGCAAGGTTAGTTTTTAATTTCGAATATTAGTTGTTGATATTTATTTCTTAACACCTTTATTGCTACCAATTACCTTTTGGAAATCCACATTAAAACTACATATTGAATTGAACTATATAGTCAATGTTTATGTGTAAGGTAATAATGTTGGTAGAGCCCTCAATAATTTCTTTTGCATGAATGGGATGGTTCGCCAGCACAAAACTACAACCACATAGAAAATAGGCGAGACATGAAAGCAATTCCTCATTTTGTCTGATAACATTGTCTGTAACATAGGCCTAATAGTTAGTCCTCTTTCCACACTCTTGTAGGAAATGGGAATGGGGGTTGGATATGTCAGAGGAGGGGAGGCTTAAAAAAAGCTTTATGCCCTATTTCTTGGTGTCCCCTTCCTTGTTGATTAAAGGTAGACAACATCTGCAAATTAAGTTGTGGGGCATGGTCACTTTACTATTTCGGCATACTCAAGTAACATTTTGATTATTTGTCACTTTTAATATAAAAAATTGTGATTAAGCCCTCAAAAAGGTGTGAAATCATGGAAGTTAAATTGGTCTGAAGGAAGAAAACCTATGTTGATATTTCTGAGTAAGATAAGAACAGGAAAATGATAACATAGTTCTTTTAACTAAAGTAATTTGAGAATGTTACTTGATCGTAGTTACTAAGTACAAACATGTTCTGAATAAAACCAAATTGACCTACTTGATTAATTGGATCTTACAGTACATAATTGGATACTAGCTTTTATCTTACTTCTTACTAATATTATAAATGCGAAAGATTAGATGGATGGATGGATGGATAGATGGATGGATGGTTGTTTGTTAGCGTTTGTAGCCTAAACGGCTGAACGGATCTCCATGAAATTTGGCACAGGTTTAGAGCATAGTCTGTAAGAACACATAGGCTACTTTTTATCCCTGGAATAGTTACGGTTCCCGTGGGATTCATTAATTTAGTTTTTTAATGTTTACCTGATCATTCTGCAACGGTTCAACATATCTTATTGAAATTTGGCACAGATATAAAACAAAGTCTGGAGTACACATGGGATAAGCTTCATCCCCGAGAAACGTCCGGTTCCCGAGGGATACTTAGCTTTTTGTAATTTTTATAGTTTGTATGTTTTCTATTACCACGCGTACGAAGTTGCGGGCAACAGCTCGTCAAAGAATATTTTTACCTTACTTAGATTTTACCTATAATTAGGCAACATTAAATACTAGCTGTTGCTCGTGACTTCGCTCGCATGAAATTAAAAAAAAATAGTAAAAACATAGCCTATGTTACTCAGTGATAACATAGCTTTTTAATGGCGCAAGAATTTTTTTTTATTGGCCCAGTAATTTTTCAGTTATTTCATACTATATGTATTGTAATAATTAAAATACAAAAAACAAATCTTTCCTCTTTATATTATCAGTATAGATTAGTATAGATAAAAATGTTGTATATGTTCCGTAATTAACTAGCAACATAGTTAGTAGTGTAGCATTGTGTTATGAGATTTTTTTAACATGTTTATTTATTTGGAATGCGAAAAAAAGTAATGTGGGGTACACCAGTAGAGGTAGACCTAGAAAGAGATGGATGGATTACACAAAAGGTGACTTGATCAATAAGTCTGATGACTGAGATGTTGTATGATAGATTTATGTGGAGGACAAAAACCTGCACCGACCCTACAGGATTAGGATAACGTGCAAGATGACGGAATATGAAAAAGAGTAATTTTAGAAAGTGTTTTTAATTATGTATCTTATATTTTTAGGTTCGACTGTCCTAATAACTGGCCGAATTTGGTGCCGGATTTAATTGGTGCGTTGAAAGCCCCACAGCCCCTCGTGCAACATAGATCATTGCTTATATTTCATCATGTAGTCAAAGCTTTGGCATCGAAAAGACTTGTGGGTGATAGAAGAACATTTTCTGTAAGTTATGACATATTCTTAAAATTCTCTAAGAGCGGGCGCATACCTTTTACTAAACTAACGCACAACTGTTGTGAAATTGTCGTTTGTTTTGCAGTCAATTTAATTGTTTAGTTGCACAACTAAACATTGAGTAGTGTGTGTACTTCCATATACTAGAAAAATAATAATAAATGTCTCCACTAATAGAAGTATTTCTATTAGTGGAGACCTGTTATTGGCTTTACACTTTAACTACCATTATACCTACTTTGTTGTAATAGCTGTTGGTCTTCCATGAAAATAAATAAATAAATAAATATAAGTTCATAGGAATCAAAGCGAGACTAAACAGTTGTGCTATAGTTTAGTCAAAGGTGCTTGCACTCTAAAAACTCTGATTTTCTTTGTTGTGTAAAATAGTTGGAATACTTTTTGTACTATTGTTATTATTGCAATTGATAATATTGTAGGATTTTTATTGATTGTTCAATTAAGTTCTTTAACCAAGATGTTAGATGAAATTTATAGTAAACCCAAATTTATTACAATAATTAATATAAAATTTATCTTTTCAGGAACTAACAAATACGGTATATCCGTTCATACTTCAACTATGGCATGAGAACACCCAAGTGTTCCTCCGTCACATACAAGAGAGTGCTGCGACTGACCTGATCACTGAACATCTGGAGAAGGCACTCCTCTGTCTGAGGATCTTGAGAAAGTTGACTGTCTTTGGGTTTAAGAATGCACATGACAGTGAGGATGCAGTGGCATTCTTGAATGTTGTGTTTGATAGAGCTAAGACCAGTTTAGAGTGCCGTAAGTAAAACACTAGTTTTAGCCCATGAGTCCGTTTGCGTGGAATAAATCAATTAAAGGGAATAGTGTATGAACTATTCCAGACTATGTTCACATCCATTCAGCTGTTTAGGCTACAAACTGTAACAAACATCCATCTATTTAAACTTTCGCATTTATAATATTAGTAAGACTACTACAGGAGCCTACAACTCAAAGATGTTGAATGTCAAGAAAAATCTACCAAGAATTAAAATCTTTTTCTTACAGTTGAATACAAACCTAAATTACTTTGTTTTCTAAGCGTTGTTTGTAAGTTATAATGCTATTTAGAAATTAAGCCTGGCCTTTTAGTTTGGGATATTGTTGATAGTTAATTAGAAATTAAACTTGAATTGCACGAGACTATGGTTTTTATAATGTTGTTTGAGAAATTAAACATTGAATTTAATTTTTTTCGGCGTTTCGAAACTCTTCACAAGTAATGGACGTTTTTTGTAGCAGTGGTGAAAATTTTTTATTAAATTTGTAAACAGATTACCGTGTTTACACTGAAAGTAAACATTTAGTAGCAAAGCTCTTGTATATTTTTAGCTATGTTTTCATCTTTTGAAACTTGATTATGAGATTGTATTTATTTCAGGTAAACTCCTCAAAGGTCGAGGTATCTACCCTTTGGAGTTATGTGAAAAGTTCATAATACATCTAACTAAAGTGGCTCTAGGCGTGTTGTGCTTCCATCCATTCTCCTATGTGCCTCTGATACGTCCTTCGCTGGAGTTTGCTCTGTTCTATTGCTTCACTGAGCAAGGAATGTCTCTCATATATGAGAGGTTCACGATACAATGTCTCAATATACTGAAAATAATTCTGCAGTGCGTTGAATATAAATTGCCTAAAGGAGAAACTGTTACTGATCCTTGTAAGTATATTTATGTTATTAATATTGTTGGTTAAAGATTGGTAGTTTTATACCAATGTTTATGTAAAGCAATGATTGGGTTATTTTGGACCGACTTCCCAAAAGAGGGAGGTATTCAATTCGTTTGCATATATATTTTTTCACATAAAATGGAAGCTGGTCTTAAAATCAGCAGGACCAAAACTGAACATTTGTTTTGCGATTTTGGCGGTCCGACCAGCTTCTCTCCAATCGCCTTAAATGG